CCCCCCCCCCCCCCCCGAGAGGGGATAGCCACACTGCAATCCCTTCTCCTTTATTCTCCTCTCAGGATTTTGGGCATGCACTCATACATGCCTGGCATGAGTTTCAAGCTGCCAGGTCTGGGACTAGAACTACAGTCAGCCATGTGGGAGTTCATTACCCTAACCACCGTGCCACCGGTTAGCTCCCAAATTCCCATTTTAATTCCATTTTTCCATAAATTCTTTGAAGTCCCTTCATATGTACCACATTTTCTTTATCCATTCATCCACTCATGAACTCTTTGGATGATTTAGTATTTTGACTATCCTGAAGAATGCTACAATAGGGACCAGAAGTTAGCATAACGGCTATGTCGCTGGACTCCCATGTAGTCGACCGTGGTCTGAGTCCCAGACCCGGTGGCTTAAACTCACACCAGGTGCGTATGTGTGTGCCCAAGATCCTGAGAGGAGAATGGAGGAGAATGGCCATACCCCCCCTCCCCGGGGAGTGATTTCTCACTTTCTGTCTCTCTGTCTCTCTCTTTCTGGCGAGCTCACACACCCTATAGCAAAAACCTCTCAAAAAAAAAAAAGAAAGAAAGAAAAGAAAGAAAGAGAGAGAGAGAGAGAGAGAAAGAAAGAAAGAAAGAAAGAAAGAAAGAAAGAAAGAAAGAAAGAAAGCAAGCAAGCTAGCTACAATAAACTTAGGAGTACAGGTATCTCTTTGCTGTACTACCCAGACAATTTTTGGTATATCAATCTTCTGTTCACATAAAAAAGAAAATATAAATACATGAGTTAAAGTATCCCCAAACGTCTCCACATTCAAAGTTCAGCTCTCCTGAATCGCTTTTCCACTCAGGCAACAATGTCTGATGAGAAAGAGAAATACCACATGTTCTCACTCCTGTGTGGAAACTGAAAAGAAAAGAAAAAAGAAAAAGAAAAGGAAAAAGAAAGGCTTTGTAAAGGTGGAAGGATGAAGGATGACTGTTAGAGGCTGGGGAGGGTGGTAGGTGGAGGGTAGAGGGATGCTGACTAACAGAAATAAAATCGCAGATAGATGGGAGGAAATGTTTCTAGTGTTACAAAATGCAGTGGGGAGTGCGCAGGTGGCGACAACTTCCTGCGTAGCTCAAAGTAACTGAAAGGGCATATTTTGAATGTACAAACACAAGGAATGACAAATGATTAAGATGACAGCAATGCTGACTATCCTGATCTGGTCATTACACATTGTATTCCTGGATCGAAAAAATCATATTGGATTCCCATGAAAATATACAATTATAATATATTATTTTAAAAATGGTGAGGGGTTTTTTGGGTGGGGGGGGCCAGCTGGTGGCATGGTAAGGTGACTAGATCCCACATGGTCTATTGTGTGGTTTGAGTCCCAGACCCAGCAGCTTGAAAAACACACTGGGCATGACTGTAAGCATGCCCAAAATCCCTAGAGGAGAAGGTATTGTGGTGTGGCCATCTCCCCTGGGGGGTGTGACTTCCCTGCTCTCACTTTCACTCTCTCTCTCTCTCTAGCAAGCATATGCACCTTAGAGTAAATTTAAATATATGAGTGTGTGTGTGTGTGTATTTATATGTATAATTTAAATACATATATAAATACAAATTTAAGTACATATTTACAAATGCAAGTTAAAGAAAAGTCACAGACCAAGAGGAGAAATTCAGTGTCTGAGGCGACCTTTCTCATATGGAGATTCCACTGATGTCTACGGGATTTTCTTCTGAGCTGCCGACCCCCGGTCTGAAAGTTTTGATATTGGAACATTCTTGATTTTATAAGCGTATATGTCAAAGAGAAAGACGTGAGACTCCCAGCTCACGGCCGAATGGTGTGTCAACTGGCACATCAAGGAGACAGCGGTGCAGTCTGGCTACCAGGAGTGACAACAAAGTCTGGGCGGACGGAAGCAATGACAGTCAGAGGCTGGCAGCGACTGTGAAAGGCCAGCATGGCTTCATCTCAAAGATGTCAGGATGTGGAAAGACAGGTGCGCTGCAGAGCTGGTGAACTAAGATACCATGGAAGTGATGGGAGAAGCCTGCCCATAACACGATGCTTTGTGTTCTAAGCCACCGGGTCCGGGACTCAAACCACGGTGGACTATGTGGGAGTCCAGCGACATTCCCATTACGCCAACTGCTGATTCCCAATGCTTTGTGTTTTTACACTCGTTAATGGCCTGAGAAGTTGTTAATGAAAACTTGGCCACTCACGTGTAGTAGATTCCTGAGGCATTTTTAGAAGGTCATTCCACGCGAGCCCCAAATCCAGGCTCGCTTAAGAACCCAAGGCCATGCACCCTCTCTTTCCTGCTAGCATTGCCAGCGTTAGCGCTACTCAATCTCCTACTTTGCTCTTGCTTTTTAAATATACTTTTAAAATAAACAGGCCATCTTCAGACTCATCATTCTGCATTTATACTGGGTATTTTAACCAGTGGAATGCCATTTTCCACCCTGTCTTGTTGCTGAGTTCTTACTTAGCTCAAATGTCACTTCTTCCAGGAAGCTTCCCATGATTTCTGTAAGTTCCTTGGACACGTTAGCTGGAGAGTGTATGTCTGTACATATGCTTCCCCCATCATGCTGTGAACTCTCGGGGAGTAGATGCCTTGTCTTATCACTTTGTGCAGCGTTGGTCTTCTGCTCTGACACCCGAAATAGCAAGTTCTCAACCAAGGCCAGCCTGAGAGATGAGCCAACGGGAAGCTATCACTCAGCTGCCGGCCTGTCTAACAGAACTTGAGAAATGCCAGAAAAGCCCCACTGCCCTCCTCCCAGCATTTCCCCAGCGGACATTTATAAGCATCCCCTGCTGGGCTGACATGAAAATGCCCTTAGAAAACACCTTAACTCCTCCCAGCAAATAAGCAGGGAGTGAGTTAATCATGTCAGAGTCTGGCTATGACAGCTGGCTGAGATTACCCCCACCCAAAACTGCGCACAAGAGAGAGACCAGGAGAAGGAAACCGGTACTTTGACGAAGGAGAGCTCACTAACCAAACTCCCCATCTAAATTAGGTGCCCTTCCCCCAAATCCCAGAATCCTCCCCTGCCACCACTGTGTTCTCGCTGACTTCACGAACCTCCCTCACCCGCTGGACCGAGAACCCTGACACTGGGACTCCATGGCTTGCTCTCTGCTGCATTCCCAACAGGCAGCCTGCACCGGCGGCCCACGAGGAATTTGGAGAGCAATAACACTGGATTTCAGAGTCGACATTCATGTGCGGAGAGCAACGTGGTAGTTGTGCGATACGGCGCCTGACAACACCCCAGACAGTCAGACAGGTGGACACACAGACAGACAGACATGGACACAGCCTGCACTGCTCCTTCTACCATAGCGCTAACTTCAACCCCGAGGTAAAGACTGGCAAAGGGCAGGGCGGTGTGCAGACCGACAGGGCACAGAATGTCTTCCCATCAAGCAGGTGTCGAGACCTCTGAGAAGCAGCCAGCGGTTCAATTGGCAAGAAACGTTATCACGAAGTCTCAGCCTGTGTCCCTTGATGGAGCAAGCACCTACACGGCAGGGCCCCCTTGGACTTCCGCGGCCACGCTCCCGAATGTGAGCATCGGGGCAAATCCAGGAGGCCCTTCATACCTGCTCTGCCATTGGTTACTGTGCAAGAGCCCCTCGCGAGTGCCAGGAACCAAGCTGACCCCGCCCATGTATGAAGGTAGCTAATCCCGTCAGGCTTGAGTTGTTACATGGACTTCACCTCACAGAGCACCTGGCGCAGAGCAGGGGCCTCAGAAATATTTACTGAGTGACGGAATGATGAAGGAAATGGTGCTTAGAGAGATTTTGTGGCCTGTTCAAGGATATCAGGAACAGGTGGATCCAGAGTTCAAGCCTAACACCTGTCTGATTCTGGAAATCTAGAAGAGAGAAGGTTCCCGCACTGCAGGAATGAGGATGCCCTCAGAGATCATTGGTCCCAAGACAATAGGATATCTTATTAATATAAGTCAATTAATCTTTTTTTTTTGAGATTTTTGCTATAAGGTGTGTGTGTTGACCAGACAGAGACAGACAGAAAGCAAGAAATCACCCCCCCCCCTCCTGGGGAGATGGCCATGCCACAGTCCCTACTCTTCCATTCTCCTCTCGGGATTTTGAGCATGCACATACACGCGCCCAGCCTGAGTTTCAAGCTGCTGGGTCCAGGACTTGAACTACAGTCAGTCATGTGGGAGTCCAACACCTTAATCACTACACCCCTTGTCGGCCCCTCAATTAACGAACTACAGTCAGTCACTCTCTCTCTCCCTCCCTCTCTCTCTCTCCCTCTTTCTCTCTCTCTCTCTAGCCTCTTGATCCAGTCAGTGAAAATAGGCCGCGGATATTTTGCCATTCTGAAAGCAGAGAGTGCCTTGAAAAAGAGGCAACAGCAACTTCAGAAACTAAAAGAAGAAGAAAGAAATAAATTTCAGCCTGCCAAAAAGTTCTCAGATATCCAGTATGGGGATGCCTTATTGACGTAAGTGGACACAGTGCATGTGGCATGAAGGCTCTGCAGAGTGGCCCTGGCCTGTTTGGTGGAGCGAAGGCAGCTACCTCCAAGCAGGAGCCCATCTTAGCCCTGCATCTAACACCTTCTTTTCTTTTCTTTTCTTTTTTTTTTCTTTTTTTTTAAAGAAAGATGTTTGCCATAGAGCACGTGTGCTGGCTGGAAAAGACAGAGAGAGATAGAGAGACAAAAAGCGAGAAATCTCCCCCAGGGGGGATGGCCATGCCACAATCCCTTCTCCTCCTTTCTCCTCTCAGGATTTTGGGCACACACGCACATGAACCTGGTGTGAGTTTCAAGACACTGGGAACCAGACTTGAAACATGGTCGGCCATAGGAGAATCCAGTGATGTAACTATTACACCATCTGCTGGTCCCTCTAACACCTTTTTTATTCAGTGCCAATACGCCTTGCCAGCCTCACCTTCTGGAACTTGCTGGAGTATCTTCCCCTGCCTCTGTCTGTCCTCATATCTAGTGCTAAGAGCTACACAAGACAAGGTCCTCAAGTGTTCCCTTTTCCCTCCATGTCCTCCCCAGAGCTTTCCCCATACTGTTTCTGGGGCCTTAAATACCTTCTCCATCGCTTCTTGCAACTAAAGTGCTATTTACCATGAAACGCTCAGCCTAAGGGCTGCCCTGTCCTGAACTTCCTGGATTTCAGTCCAAGCCTCTCCTGCATGCATTTGCATTCCAGACATCTGTGTGCTAGTTCGCTTTACTCTGTGTCAGATCTCTGTTCTAGACTTTCGGTTGCCTCTCCTGAGCCCAGTTCACAAAGCAAGCACACAAAAAGTGTTTGTGGATTTTGTTGAGTAAAGCAGTTCCCCACTCCCTCCTTTTTGTAAAGGGCATTTCCCTAGTCGAGAAAGGATCATCAACAGTCTAGTCCATGATAAAATGTGCATGCATATAAAAACAACCACTAGGACAAATGACAAGGATAAAACAATAAATGATGGGCCGTCCCCATGGAGCAGTGGTGACGTGCTGCTTGAGAGAAGCCAGATCCCACATGGCAACCCCGGTTAGAATTCCTGGCCAGGTCAGCTTGAAAAATATCCTGGGCACACACACAGGTTCCTAGGAGCTGATGGGCTGGAAAACGGGAAGAAGGGGATCTCGATGTCACCAAACCCTGGGGAGGGAAGGTCAGTCTCCCGTTCTCTCTCTCTCATGCACACGCACTCTCATGAATAAAGAAAATGTTTTTAAACTAGATCAAGGTGAAGACTGCACAGCATGGTGGATATACTAAACGCCACTGAGTTGTACCTTTTAAAACAGTTCATTTAGGCTAGCTGGTAATGTGGGGGTTAAGGGGGCTAGATCCCACATTGCTGACTACGTGGTTCAAGTCTTGGAACCGGCAGCTTAAAAAACATGACAGGTACTTGTGCATGTGTGCCCAAAATCCCAAAGAGAGAGAAATGGAGGAGAAAGGATTATGACCATTCCCCATAGGGCAGGAGGACTCCCTCTTCTTTTGCATATGCATGCACCCTCTAGCACACGTTCACTCACAAACACACACACACACCACACACACACACACACACACAATATCATTAGATCTGTCCATACCAAGACAGGGTAATGGTTAAGAGCATAAGCCTCGGAGAGCATCAGAATTCAAGTCCTGACTCAGCCACACAACTGTTAAACTTTGGACAAGACCCAGTACCCCCTTGAAACCTTCTTTTTATTCCCCTGTAAGAATGGTACCAAACTCCCAAGCTTGTTATGAGGATTAAATGGAATAATGTTTAGCACAAAGCCTGGCATATAAGACATGCTCATTAATTGTTAGCTATTATTATACAATAAAGTGAATTTGATCTCTCTGGGTCTCAATTACCTAAAATCCTTAAATGTATGGCTGAAAAAAAAAATCTCAATTTCCATGAAGGTTAGAAAGCACCCCACATCTAAGAGCTACGCTTCTATAAATACAATTGCAATCACACAAGTATCAAAACTACAAGCGTTCATTTATAAATACTTTGACAAAGTATTTGATCATGTGCGTTACAAAAAGCAAAAGGGATTATTCCCCCCCCCATCTAAGACCCTAGAATAAAGTTCTTTTAGACAAAAGTTTTAAGTCTGACAAACTATGTAAGGAAAAAAGAAAATCAAGCATGTCCCCAAAGATTTCTGCCAGCAAGCAGTCTTTCCCACTGTGCTCAATGACCTCATTTTTCAGCTGCAGATTCAGCTGAAAAGGTAAAAAAAAAAAAAAAAAAAAAAAAAAGGAGAAAAGGAGAATTTGTTTTATTATTGTGGCTGAGAGAAAAGATAAAACCAGCGATTAAAGAGTGCAAAGGCTGGGTTAATCTCTCTGTATTCTAAACCGCTGGGAGACACAGTAGAGCCAGTGAGATGGGGCCACAGCTTGTGGTTTCCTCTGCTCTAGGGCTGAACAAAGAGTGAATGGAAATGGTAATTGGGGGACCTAGATTCAGGACCTTGGTTTTGGTTTTGGTTTTGTGTTTTTGTTTTTGTTTGGAGAGGGTTTTGCCTTAGGGCAAATGTACTCATCTGAGAAAGACAAGCAGACACACAGGGTGAGAGGGAAAGTGAGAAATCACTCCCTGGGGAGGTGGCCACACCCTTCTCCTTTCTCCTCCCAGGATCTTGGGCTCTCACACGCCCAGCATGATTTTCAAGCAAAGGGGTCCCGGACTTGAACTGAGATAGGCCATGTGGAAGTCCAGTGATGTAACCGCTAGTCCTTTGTTTGTCTCTCTAATCTTGTTTTAGGTAACTCTGTGATTCCAGATTGCCCACAGATTCCCAGCAGAGAGGTATACTCTTACTGGGTCATTGGGAAAGTTATGATGCATTTTTGCATAGAAAAAATATGCCACAACTTTTCCAATGATCCAATCATTTGTGTCTCAGAATCCCTCCTTTGGTCTCCCTCCATCACTTCCCCTGTGCTAAGCCTGTGTGATTTTTACTTTTTCCCCAAATTATAAATTGCTTTCATCTTAACACCCTCCATGGCTGTCATGCCTCGTAGGATAAAGACAAAAGTCTGAGCAGAGATTCCAAGGCCCTGGATGATCTAGCCTTTGGCTGGTCTCTCCAGCCCCAGCTCACAGCCTCCTCTCTCTCCCTCAGCCCCAGCCCCGTCTCCCACTCAGGACTTGCTCTCCACCACAGGGTCTTTGCACTTGCTAGTCCTCTGGCCGAAGGCCTTCCCCTCCTCCCTTTGACTTGTTAATTCCCACCTGACTTAAAGATTTCAGCTTGGTATTTCCCTTTGTTCCTCTTACCTACCACCACTAACACCTCTCTGAAACTCAGTAACTTAAGACAACCAGCACTTCTTTCTCACAGAAGTGCAATCTGAGCAGGGCCCAGAGGGTCAGGATTGTCTCCTCCACTCAGCGCTAGATGGAGCACCTCAAAGGATCTACTTCTAAGACGCCTCACTCACATGGGGGGAGGGGTGGGGTGTTTTAGTTTGTCCTTTTGCTAATTACAGAAAATCTGTAAAACCGGGTGGTTGAAAAAGTAGAGGTTTATTCAGCTCTCAGGTTGGAAGGCTCAGGTCCAGGGGCCACAAGTGGTGGGGGTCTTGCAGAGTCCCACGGCATCACATCACAAGAGCAAGGGCAGAATGTCTGCAGGAGCCTCTGTTGTGAGCTCATCCCCTCTCCTTGCAAACCTGCCAGGATTCATTCTACCCTGAAGACCCTAATCCTAATCTCTTCCCAACAGCTCCACATTTCAACACCATGGTCTGATTAAGTTTTTAATCCTCTCTTTAAAAAATAATAAAAAGAATTATCTATTTATTTTATTTCTTCTTATTATTTATTTTTAATTTAACCAGAGAGAGAAAGGGAGAGTGAGAAAGAAAGCCGCCAGGTCCAGGACTCGAACCACAGTCGGCCATGTGGGAGTTCGGTAACACAAACACCATGCCACCTGCTGGCTCAAGTTTTTACCCTTTTAATCCTATCACAACCAAATCTCAATACACTCATTCATTTTGGGGGGGGGGGTGTACAAACAGTAGCAGGTGGCAAATGAGAGCTGGCTATTAGCTGTGAGCTTGGTTCCTCTCCCTGTGGCCTCCTCATAGGCTGCCGGCTTCATCACAGCATGGCAGCTAGATGCTACTCGTGAGCATCTTAGGACACAGGCAGGAGAAGCTGCCTGTTTCTGGAGTCTGGCATCACATCCCTTCTGACACATTCTATTAGGTCAGTTGTTCACAGAGCCGAGATCCCAAAGGAAGTAGACAGAGACCTACTTCTCAATTAGAGGAATATCAAAGGATGTGGGGCACGTGTTTCACAAATTCTGTTGCTTCCTCAAAGACGTATTCTCTGCCTTCCATTTCAGTCGAACTCTCTATTTCAGGCTGTCAGAGCGTTAGCAGCAAACCAAGTCCAGTTGCTACTTCTCACTGACACGTCAATGAAATGAGAGGCAGAGGCTAGAGAAAAAGAGTTTAATTCTGCAGCCAGGTTATAGGGAAATAGCCAGCAAGCACCCCAAACTGTCTCAAAAAAGCTCAGCATGTGCTCTGTATTTATAGTAGGTTGTCAGGAAAGTCATGACACATTTTTGCGTAGGAAAATGTGTCATGACTTTTCCCACGACCCAATCAATGTGAGATACAAGCGCGTGAAAATCATTCCTCACTATAGTTAAAGTCAATTGCTTCCCCTCCACCCCCGAATAATTATCCCAATCCTGTTTCACTTCAAATATCCATTCCTGGTTTCTCACCTGACCATTCTTCAAGCAGGTCTCCCTCTGATTCAGCACTTGGTCAGACTATTCTCATTGGAGGCCTTTCTGAATCTCAAAATGGCTACAGTCTGGGGCTATATCTCAAAGTTGGCCCGCTTCAAAAGCTCTGAATGGGGAACCAGCAGTTAGCGTAATGGCTATGTCGCTGGACTCCCACGTAGTCGACCGCGGTTCGTGTCCCGGACCCGGTAGCTTAAAACTCACGCCGGGGGCGTGTGCATGCGTGCCCACGATCCCGAGAGGAGAATGGAGGAGAAAGGATTGCGGCATGACCATCCCCCCTGGGGGGTGATTGCTCGCTTTCTGTCTCTGTCTGTCTGGCGAGCGCACGCACCCTACAGTGAAAATCTCTCAAAAAAAAAAAAAAAATAAAAAGGCTCTGAATGGATCATTGCAGCTTTGTGTACGGTTATGGCCCTCTCGCTGACTAGACTTGAGACTTCAGGGGAGGGGAAAGCTGTGTCTGTCTCATGGTTGTATCTGGAGCCCCCCAGCACAGAGAAAATATTCAATACATATTGGTAGAAATGATTGAATGGGGAACCCAGGGAATCCATTAACAATTCAATTCAGTAGACTGGGACTAAGGAACTAAAAGGTCTTCAGGAAACAGGCAGGTATCATGAATTAGTAAGGCAGGTGGGGAGTGAGAAACCACAGGTGCTCAAGTCTGGGGCGACCCTTAGAAGCACATGCCTCATGCAAAGGCTTGTAGTGGTCTTTGTTCCTCAGAAGACTCTGGCCAGCAAGACCACCAGCCCAGAGCAGCCAGAGCTTTCAAGTTTTTAAGAACCAATGCTTTTAAATTTGTATGTGAAATCTCCCTATTTTAAAATATATTTTTAAAAAAATTATTCAATTGTAGGTACACAGAGTAGGCTAATTAAAACATGCCTATGGGCTGAATTTGGCCATGAGCAAAAATATATACCTTATGACTCAGCCGTGCAAAAAAAAAAAAAATTTCTAAAGCTGAAATAACTTGCTCCATGATGGTGAAGAAAAAAACATGGCTGAAGAAAAAACAACCACTATGGCTTAGTGGTTAAGGGGGTTGGATCATCTATGATTGACTGTGATTGGAGTCCTGGTCCCCATGGCTTAGAAAACACACCAAGAGCACATGCATGCATTCCCCAAACCCTGACAGGATGGAGAAATGAAAGAGAAGGAATTGCGGTGTGGCCATACCCCATTGGGGGATGCTTTTCCCTACTTCTCTCCCTCTCTGTCTCTCTCTGTGTGTCTCTCCTTGGTGAGTGTATGTGCCCTCTGGCAATTAAAAAATCAAATTAAATTGCCATTTCTAGAATACGGAAGAAAATATTTCTTGTCTAGTTCTTTAATAAAACATTTCCAGAGACTAGCAGAAGGCATAACGATTACATCGCTGGATTCCCACATGGGCGACCACAGTTCAAGTTCCAGATGAAACTCACACTGGACATGTATGTGTGTATGCCCAAAATCCTGAGAGAAGAATGGAGAAGGAATTGCGGCATAGCCATCCCCCCAGGGGTGATTTCTTGCTTTCTATCTCTCTGTCTCTCCAGTGAGTGCACATGCACTATAGCAACAATCTCTCCTCAAAAAAAAAAAAAAAAAAAAAAAAAAAAAAAAAAACCGTCCCATAGGGGAAAAAAAACAGG